AATTACATTGGACCTACCTGTGTAATCCAGGATAATCTCCCTATTTTAAGGTACTTAATTATATCTGCAAAATTGCTTTTGCCACGTAAGATAATATAGTCACAAGTTCCAAGGATTAGGACTTAGACGTTTTAGAAGGGTGGAGGATTTCTGCCTACCACAAAAGATTATGTTTAAAATCCAGTTGTCTGACAACTACCTCTTATCTCCCCGGTCATTCTGTCTTATACTCTGATTCCACAATCCTTTGAACTCTTGAGGGAGCTTCACTTCATCAAGTTTACCACTTTTGCAGTGTCCCTTATTTCTGATGTTCTTGCCTCCCTTCTAATTAAACTACATTTTGGCCAGGCATGATGGCCCACACCTGAAATTTCACCACTTTGAGAGGCCAAGGCCAAGGCCAAGATCGCTTGAGGTCAGGAGATCGAGACCAGCCTGGCCGACGTGGTGAAATCCCGTCTCTACCAAAAATACAAAAAATTAGCTGGGTATGGTGGTGTGTGCCTGTAATTCCAGCTACCCAGGAGGCTGAGGCAGGAGAATTGCTTGAACCTGGGAAGCAGAGGTTGCAGTGAGTTGAGATCGCACCACTACATTCCAGTCTGGGTGATGGAGTGAGACTCTGTCTCAAATAAATAAATAAAAATTTTTTAAAACTACATTCCATGGCTTTTTCTTTACAATCTCTTGTAAGAAAGTGCATGCACACTTTCTGCTCTCTTGCCCCTTTCTTGTTATACTCACATGACAAAACCCTGGCATTGCTTAACCCAATTCTCCCTCTAGCCTGTCTTCATCTCGTGAAACTGAACATAGCTAGAAGAAAATAGCCTTGCTGACCAGTCTTCCATTAAAGTCCATGACCATGAACTTCAGATGGGCCCTTTGTGCTGCCTGGTAATCACATGCTATTTCCTACTTCATTCACTTTCCCACTTTCCTAGAAGACTTTCGTGCCTTCTGTCTTCTCAACCTCTCACATTTACCTTTCCGTCCTCACTGTGGGCTCATGACTTGACTCTTCCCTGAGAAATGCAAAGCAAGAAGAAGTTCCTGCAGATTCCCACTACCTATTTTCCCCACCTGTCTGTGTCCTCACACTCTGCCTTCCTCTTAATGGGTCTGGGGACAGAATCCAGATTGTCATGATCTTGCATGTGGGAATGAAAGTTTATTCCAATGATTTTCATCTGAAATCTAGCATGTCCTTCAACTGTGAATGTAGTTAATAAATGTAGCATGAGCAGCACCTGTGCTTTTAGCTCCAAAAGATACCACAGATATATGAGACAGTTTTTATAGAACTTACAAAATATTTTATACGTATGTCACCATTTTGAAATTATTATTGTTGCAACAGGGTCTCACTCTGTCACCCAGGCTAGAGTACAGTGGCACTATCACAGCTCACTCCAGCCTTGACCTCCCAGGCTCAAGTGATCCTTCCACCTCAGCCTCCCAAGTAGCTGGGACTATGGGGACATGCCACCATGCCCAGCTAATTTTTTTAGAGACAGGGTTTCTCCATGTTGCCCAGGGTGGTCTGAAACTCCTGGGCTCAAGCCATCTGTCTACCTTGGCCTCCCAAAGTTATGAGATTATAGGCATGAGCCACTATACTCAGCCTACTTTGAAATTATAGTCTAGTTATTAGACCCACTGCTGGATCTTATGTACAGCATTCACAAAGAAACACGTGCTTCAGTTAATGTATCACAGATTTTTTTTGTTTGTTGTATTTTTAGAGATGGGGATCTCACTATGTTGCTGAGGCTGCCATCCTGCTGCCCCAGTCTCCTGACTAGCTAGGGCTATAGGCACGTGCCACCCCACGTGTCTTTGATTTGTTTGTCAATGATTTGGTAATTGTGTTTTAATATAATTAGTTTTCTTTGTATTCCTTTATATTTTATGCATTTGAAAACATTATTCTGAGAAGCATCCAGAAATTTCACCCATCAAAGAAGTTATGGTATATATAAGGGTTAAGAGTCCCTCCTGTGGGTGAATTATCCATATCCCCAACTAAATCCAGTCTCTCTATTTGTGCACTAAATGCTATCTCCTCTCACCCATTGTGCTAAGTGTCCTCCGTTTGCCTTTCCAGATCTGCTGTCTACCTCCTCCTTGCTCCGGTCCCTGGAGCTGATCTCTGTGCAGCATCAACCAGATTTCCTTGCATTCTGACTTCTGTTGGGATCAGACGATGGGAGGCACAAGAAGGACAGAGAAGGGTGGAGGAGAGAGGCCTTGGGATATTTATCCTCAATCCTTCCCGACAGCCTTGGGTTGGCAGAAGCTCTTTTCCAGCTTTGGTTGCGCAACCCTTTCCTGTGGCTAGAGCTCCCTGTCTTGATTTCATGTAAGTGCCCCTGATTTTGCTCCTTCATGGCCCTCCTGCTTGGTGAACACCCTGTGATTCATCATTCCTTGAGTGCTTCTCTTAAGTCAGCCCATTCTTCTATTACAATCTCTCCAGGCTCCCCCTTTTCAGGGTGTCATCTGCTTTTTTCCAGGGGCCTCACAACTATATGGACTCCAAGAAATGGCCCCAGCAGCTCTCCCAGCTGAGTTCATTCATTCCCATCAAGAAAGCCTGCTTTCAGCCCACTTGTCCTTTCAGCTGCCACTTCCTTGTTAGCCAAGCCCACTGTCTCCAATACCTCTCCCCTCTCCTCTAATTCACTCTTCACACTCTTCAGCTGGGGCTTTGTCTCCTCCCCACTGAAACTGCCCATCCAAGTCACTGATGATCAGGTCAGTAGTTCATAATGTTCATAGGTTAGAGTAGACTCCAACCTATGTCTAAAATGTAGTTTATTTATTATGTATATTAATTATCATCTCTTTCTGTCCACCAGAACATAAGCTCCTCAAACCTAGGGATTTTTGTTCCTTCAGTTTTCTGGTGTTCTTCAAGTGCCTAAAACAGTGCTTGGCACATGCATTTTTGTTTAATTTAATTAGATGGTAATCATTGCCTGTTTAGGGATGGAAAGGTGTGATACCTTTCCTTAATATCATAAGGCCAACACTCCTATAACAAAGGCAGGCTAATAAGAAAAAAGTATTATAAATGTATTTAATCAAAATTTTATGTGACATGGGAGCCTTCAGAAATGAAGACCCAAAGACCCAAGGAAAATGGTACTTTTATATTTAGTTTTGATGAAGAATAGACAGCCATATAGAGATGTGATTGGACAAATTGCGTGACCTGATGGCAATAAACCAAGTGGGGAGGCCCAACAAGGCCTGTCTGTCTAGATTCTTCTTGGCCTCTCTGTGTAGTATTCCTTCCTTCTGGGTCTCGGGCAGGACCCTTCTGGAATGAGGATCTGTAAGGGAGAAGGATAACTGAGTGACCTTTTTAGGTTTTATGGCTTACTTTGCAGAAAGGAGTTTTAGAATCTGTAACCAGACTTGAGGAAGAGGAATTCTGGTTCTAGTTGCTTTTTTTTATGTTTGTTTAAGACAGGATCTCAAGCCGGGCGCGGTGGCTCACGCCTGTAATCCCAGCACTTTGGGAGGCCGAGGCGGGTGGATCACGAGGTCAAGAGATCGAGACCATCCTGGTCAACATGGTGAAACCCCGTCTCTACTAAAAATACAAAACATTAGCTGGGCATGGTGGTGCATGCCTGTAGTCCCAGCTACTTGGGAGGCTGAGGCAGGAGAATTGCCTGAGCCCAGGAGACGGAGGTTGCGGTGAGCCGAGATCGCGCCATTGCACTCCAGCCTGGGTAACAAGAGTGAAACTCAAAAAAAAAAAAAAAAAAAAAAAGACAGGATCTCACTCTGTCTCCCAGATTGGAGTTCAGTGACAAAACCATAGCTCCACTGCAGCCTCAAATTCCTGGGCTCAAGTGATCTTCTTGCCTCTGCCTCCCAAGTAGCTGGGACTACAGGCATGTGACACTGTGCTCAGATAATATTTTGAGTTTTTTTTTTTTAGAGATGAGGTCTTGCTATGTCGTCAGGCTGGTTTTGAACTCCTGAGCTTAAGAAATCCTTCTGCCTCAGCCACCAAAGTGATGGGATTACAGGAGTGAGCCACTGGCCGATGAATTCTGGTTTCTATGACTTGCTTTGGAAGAGGAAGAGGGGCAAGAGGGAAGAGGGAAGGAGAAGGTTACAGAGAGCTTGCTTCTGAAGCCTTCCAATCTCCTTTAGTTCAAAGTACTCAGCATCCCAAAGTGTCATACTTTGGTGTATCATCTGAGCCGCAACACCCCTCATATACAGAGTAACAACTGTGTTTTTCTCCCTAAAAAGGTGAAGTGACAAAAAAAATAAAATACAGATGAATACATGTCATATCTTATAATGGGAATTTTTATCCTCTTAAATAAAAGTTGTAGGAGTTCATTGGTTTGGACTTAGCTTCTGCACCAGGCCCAACATAGCAAACCAAAATGGAGTCACTCATGCTAAAGTTTCACGGCAGCAACCCCAAATTAGTTGTTTATCTTACCTTCCAAGAAACCAAGAGACACAGATAGATAATAGCCAAACTCTCAAACAGACCGGTTTTAATTGGCACGATAAGGAAGTTGCCTCTGCTTTAAACTTTATAAGAAAAGTAACTTCGAAACAACCAGCCTGCTTTTTGTTTTCTGTTTCTATTCTCCTCAGCCCTTTTATGTCAATAAAACGAACCTCCCCTGCTCAGCTCATCAGAACGCTCATTCTATTATAAAAATGAGGTGTTGCCGGCCGGGCATAGTGGCTCACGCCTGTAATCCAAGCACTTTGGAGGCCAACGGGGGCGGATCACCTAAGGTCGGGAGTTCAAGACCAGCCTGACCAACATGGTGAAACCCTGTATTTAAAAAAAAAAAAAAAAAAAAATGAGGTGTTGCCTAATTCTAAATTTGCAAATAAAAGCCAATTAAGATCTCTAAACTAAATTTGTTGTAATTTTGTCTTTTGATAGTCCTAAACATAAATATGAGAACAGAGACCTCAGCAAAATCAACAAGTATAATAGCAAATACATTTTAACATTTGATATATTTAAAAAAACTGTGAAAGTAAATGACAAACTACAAGCTAAAAATTAAATTGCAACTTATGTGACAAACATGGACATATATAATAATTTCTTACAAATCAATAGAGAAGATTATACCAGTTTTTAAAAATAGCTCAAAAAGCCATGGAAAAATAATTCACAAAAGAAATAGTGTTAACAAAAAATTATGTAACCATCAATCTCATGAATAAAGAAATGCAAATTCAAACTACAATGAGGCCTCATTTTTTGACTATCAAATCAGAAAATTTTGTTTTAATTAACCCTTGATTCAGTAATTCTATTTCCAGGTCCCTGTCTTAAATAATTAGGGAGGTGCATAAATATGTGTGTTCAAGGATATTTATTGCAACAATATTTATGAAAACAACCTGAAATTCCATCAATAGAGACAGACTTAAATAATATATGAAAATTCATATCATAGAATATTTTACAGCTATTTAAAATCATGTTTTTGTAGAATATACAATGATTTTAGAAAATGTTTATGAAGTCCAAGATGTGAAAAGTATGATATCAAACTGTGCATAGAGTAGGATTCCAAAATTTCAAATAAAAATACATTAGGCACATATATACATATACCACAAATGGAAAAATGACTGAAAGAAAAAATAGAAAAATGTTAATGCTTGTTATTTCTATGCAGAGGGATTATGAGAGGTTTCATTTTCTCTTTTAAAGTTTCCCGTATTTTCCAATTTTCCCCAAATTATGTATCACTTTCACATTTAGAAAAATAATAAATAAATGTTAACAATAATAACAGTGAGATCAAAGGAGTTCCAAAAGATTCAGACATAAACACTCTATTTTTTATCATTATTTTTCTTTTTTTTATAAGTGACTAAATCTTCCAGTTAAAAAGTTTTTATTTCCAGTAGAAGTAGTACTTGTATTTTTTCCTTGACTGGATTTGGATACAGGATCCACTGCAACGTATTTGATTTGGAAACCTCCAGCTGTCACTGAAGCATCACTTAGAAACTTCAAGGTCATGACATTTCCTGTTGTGGGGAAGGAGGCAAAAGAACAAAGATGTTACTCTCCTTTGATTTGGCTGGAAATTCAAAGACACTTCATTCTCACAGGAAAATATAAGAATACATGAACAAGACTCCCAGAATTCAGAGGTCGATTCTCAAGCTGAAGAGTCTGTAGTTTCATTGCTGCATGAAGCAGCGTAAGGGACTTTTATATTTTTTTCCTTTGGTTTTCCAATCTATCCTATGGGAAATTCTGTTGATTTATTTATTGCTGAGACAGAGTCTCACTCACTCTGTCGCCCGGCCTGGAGTGCTGTGGTATGATCTTGGCTTACTGCAACCTTCACCTCCTGGGCTCAAGTGATTCTCCTGCCTCAGCCTCCTAAGTAGCTGGGATTACAGGCACATACCACCACACCTGGCTGATTTTTTGTATTATTAGTAGAGACAGGGTTTCACCATGTTGGCCAGGCTGGTCAAACTCCTGACCTCCCTCAGGTGATCCACTGGCCTCAGCCTCCCAAAGTGCTGAAATTACAGGCCTGAGCCACCACATAGGCCTGTCTATTGTATTTAAAAGATACTCTTTGTAGAAGGAACATCCACTGAATTACAGGAGAATGGCAGGCAGGTCAGATCAGCGATGGGTGGATGAGTTATTTACTAAATTATGTCAGAGTAACAAGTTTCACATTTGTAAGAAACGAAGCTATACTCCTACTTTACACAGAGTACCTAAACACATTTTACCTGCATATAAAGACCAAAATGTGCTAAACAAAAAGGAAAAACTTTATTATAGAACATAAAATATAGGAATATTTATCTTTTTCAGGAGGCAAAGCCCTTCTTTTTGTTTGTTTGCTTTTGGAGACAGGATCTCACTCCATTGCCCAGGCTGTTCTCAAACTTCTGTGCTCAAGTGATCCTGCTAGCTCAGCCTCCCAAAATGCTTGGGTCACAGGCATGGACCACTAGCCTAGGGAAGACCTTCTTAATCCAGATCCCAAATCCAAATTAATTACAAATACACACATACGCACACACACACACACACACACACACACACACACACACACACA